AAGTGAAAAAGAGAGAAAGGGACAGAGAGAATATGTGAACAGATAATGATAAAAAAAAAAAAAAAAAAAAAAATCCTGCCCAGCAGGTGTGGCTCACTGGTTGAATGTTGACCCATGCACCAGGCGGTCTCTGGTTCAATTCCTGGTGGGCCTGATCCCCAGTAGGGGGCGTGCAGGAGGTGGCCAGCCAATGTTCTCTCTCATCGATGTTTCCATTTCTCTTTCCCTCTCCCTTCCTCTCACTCTAAAATAAATAAAGAAAAAAAATTCCCAAATTTGATGAAATACATTAATAAAAATATCCAAGCCCTGGCCAGTTTGGCTCAGCGGTTAGAGCGTCGGCCTGTGGTCCGGAGAGACCCGGGTTCGGTTCCCGCTAAGGGCACATATTTCGGTTGCAGTTTGTCCCCGGCCCTGGATGGTCGTGCGGGTGGCAGCCACTCGATGTGTCCCTTCACGTCGATGTTTCTCTCTCTCTCTCCGTTCCTCTCTCTCCCTCCCACTCAATCTGTACAAAAAAAAAAAAAAAGGAAAAATATCCTCGGGTGAGGATAAAAAAAATAATAATAAAAATACCCAAGAAGCTCAATAACATCAAGTAAGATGAACTCAAAAACATCCATGTTGAGAAACATTATATAATCAAATTGTTGAAAGAGAGAATCTGGAAAGCATCAAGAGAAGTGACTGGTCACATACAAGTAATCATAAGATGATCATTAAAATGTAAGGGATAAATTAAGACATTTCCAGGTTAGCAAAAGCTAAGGGAGTTTGTGACCACTGAACCTGCCCTGGCAGAAATGCTTAGGGGAGTCCTGCAGGACGAAATGAAAGGACATGAGACAGTAACTTAAACACTTGTGAAGAAATAAAGGGTTCAAAAAACGTAAATACACAGGCAATTATAAAAGGTAGTCTAATTGTAAAAAGGCTTTTGTAACTCCATTTTTTGTTTTTGGCATGATTTAAGAGACTGATGTGGTAAAAAAAAATTACTGACTTCTGGTATTGGGTTCCTCATATATGAAACTTGCCAGTCACCACTCCATCCTAACAAGTAAAAAGCAGAACAAACTGAAACATCAGCAGCTCTTCCAGGTTCTGTAAGACAAGGGAGGACACAGGGCAATCCTCAGTTCCCAAGCTGGAGAGACAGACAAACACAAGTCACCATGGTTTCCTGGAGCAGAGACTCATAGGCAGAAACTGCCAGGGGGTTCTGTGCCCAGGTTCCCTGAACCTTAAATGATGAATTTCTGGAGAATCAACATAGACTCAGCTGAGAGATAAAAACTCCAGGAAGACCCAGTCACAGGGGGCCCCAACCTATGGCAAGATTTTCCTCCAGGAGCCTGAGCAGGTTCCCACAGCAAATATCAGAGCCAAGTCCCCTCATGTTTCCAGCAGGAGGAAGGGAGAGGAGCCATTAAAAGGTACAGATTCCCCTGTTTTGTTTTGTTTTTAATCCTCACCCAAGGATTTTTCCATTTTGTTCAGATAGTGTGGGAGGGAAAGAGAGGGGGAGAGAGAGAAACATCGACATGAAAAGGACACATTGAGTGGATGCCTCCTGCACAACCCCAACCAGGGTTGGGAACAAATTGCAACCTAGGTGTTTGCCCTTGACTGGAATTGAACCCCCGACTCATAGGTCCGTGCGCCAATGCTCTAACCACTGGGAAAAACTGGCCAGGGCCAGAGTCCTCTGTTCCTAATAAGGCCTACTTTCAGGAGAAACTGCCCACACCAGGGCCCATATGTCAGGGAAGGCAAATACCCAACTCCAGCTCCCTTGAACTATGTGTCCCAGCCACGAAGGAGAAAACTGAAAAACTCCTTAGAAGGTCACAGCACAGAGGGACAGACTTCACTGGAGACTGAGCCTAATTGTAGGACCACAGAACACACCCCTCTCCATACCTCGTTGCATTTGTCTGGCTATCGAGAAAAACAAGGCACGCCACAAGGTAAAAAACAGGTTGAAGAGACAAGCAAACACGGACACCACCAGAGGAGGGTGAGGACATGGATGCTCACTCACTGCTGGTGAGAATGAACATGGTGCAGCCACTCTGGAAGACGGTGTGCCGGTTCCTTAGGAAACTAAACACATCCTCACCACACCATCACCAATCAGGCTCCTTGGAATGTACCCAAAGGAACTGGGTACTGATGTGCTCACAAAAACCTGCACCCAGGTCCTGGCCAGTTTGGCTCAGCGGTTAGAGCGTTGGCCTGCGGTCCGGAGAGACCCGGGTTGGGTTCCCGCTAAGGGCGCGTACCTCGGTTGCAGTTTGTCCCCGGCACTGGTTGGTCGTGCGGGTGGCAGCCACTCGATGTGTCCCTTTCACATCAATGTTTCTCTCTCTCTCTCTCTCTTCCTCTCTCTCCCTCCCACTCTATCTGTACAAAAAATGGAAAAATGTCCTCGGGTGAGGTTAAAAAAATAAAATAAAAAAAAACCTGTACGCGGATATTTAGAGTAGCTTTATTTGTTTTTGTTTTTTTTCTTTCTATTTGTCTTCAGGTAGAGTGGGAGGGAGGGAGAGAGAGAAACATCGATGTGAGAGACACATCGACTGGTTGGCTCCCACACAACCCTGACCAGGGCCGGGGACAAACCACAACTGAGGTACGTGCCCTTGACCAGAATCAAACCTGAAACTCTTTGGTCCGCAGGCTGACACTCTAACCACTGAACCAAACCGGCCAGGACTAAAGTAGCTTTATTTGTAATTGCCAGGTCTTGATGCAGAAGTTTAGTTTGTGACTTCAAATCTCTGAGGCAAAGATGGACCTTTAGTAAGTACACAGCCATGTGGAAAAGATAAATCAACCCTACCCCTCACAGTTGTACAAAAAACAAAATTCAAACAAATGAGAGGTCTGCACATGAAGCATGGAGATAAAACAAGGCTGCACTGCATCGGACACCTCCCAACTCTAATGTGGGAAAGGACTCAAACATGAAAACCTTGAGTAGAGAACACTTCTGCAGAGTCAAAAGACAAATGGAGAAATTATTTGCAACATACATTGTAATAATGGGTGAACACCTTACTAATTGAAAAATTTTTAGAATTGTGAGAGCAAAACTTGCCTTGACCAGTGTGGCTCTGTAGTTAGGGTGTAGGCCTACACATGGAAAGGTCACCAGTTCAATTCTTGGTCAAGGGCATGTACCTGGGTTGCAGGTTTAATCCCTAGCCCAGGTAGGGGAGTGTGCAAGAAGCAACCAGTGGGTGTGTTTCTCTTCTCTCTCCCCTTTCCTCCCTCCCACTCTCTCTAAAAAAAAAAAAAAATCAATGGGAAAAATATCCTCCGGTGAGTTCTACCAACAAAAAAAACCTCTGCCACTGAATTATAGTAATAAATAAATTATCGAGAGTGTGAGGTCCTAATTTCCTGCGCCTGGGTCAGTCATGGAAGCCAGGGGCCTGAGGCTGGAGCAGAATGAGTGGGCTAAGGGGGCGCTGCCAAAGAGGAGGGGTATGCAGGCTGTGAGGTTGGGGAGGAGAGCCATGGAGAGCTCTGGGCAGAAGGGGCCTGTGAACTCACTTTACAAAACTAAGCCAATGACTGTGCAGTCAACGACTTCCTAATCATGACATCCACACTTGCAACACGACCACATTTATCTCATGGTCATCCAAAACAGGGCGGCAAAAATCGGGGACCCTGGGGCAAATTCAGCCTATAAAATAGATTGGGCCTGCACACAAATTTGTATTAGTAAATTGTCCATTACACGTCCGATTTCTTTTTTTTAAAATATATTTTTATAGATTATTTTTAGAGAGAGAGAAACAGATTTAGGACAGAAAAGGCTGCTTCCTGCAGGCCCCCCACGGGGGATGGAGCCCGGAACCATGGCAGGTGCCCTGCCAGGGAATCTAACCGCGACCTCAGTCCATGGGACGACGCTCGAGCCACTGAGCAACACAGCCAGGGCTCCATCCAGATTTCTTACATAAACTGAAAGGGGGCGCGAGGTCCTGGGGGGCAGCATGGCTGCCGCTGGGCCGCGGCACCGCAGGGGCTGCTCGGAAGGCACAGCCGCCACCCCAAGGCCTCCCTGCGGCCGGCCCCACAGGGGCTGCGTTATCCCAGGGCCCAGGGAACCAGGCCGCGCACGGAAGCGCCTTAACGCCGCAGGTCTCAGGGCTTCGGGGCGCCCAGCACGTGGCTGCCACAGCCTCCGGAGCCCCTGAGCAGAGCCGGGCACTGGGCGCCGTTTCCGGTCGGCCGGCCTCGGGGCGCTGCGGGCCGCGGGCAGGGCGCCGGCAGGTGGGCTTCCGGTCCCGAAGGCTGGGCGCCGCGCCCACCGCGGGAACACGCGCACCTGCCCCCGAGCCCAGCGCCCAGTCGCCCCGCCAGCGGCTCGCACCCTCGGCTGGGGCCTGAGGCTCAGGGCGTGCTCCTGCGGGACAGGTCCTGCCGGGACCGGGTTAGCGCTCGAAACTGCACCTGAGAAACCTCGCCCTGCCAGCGCGAGGGCGGCGCCGCATGATGGGGACTACGCCTGCGCGGGGAGCCCTGCCGGCGCAGAATTATAGGGACTGCGCCTGCGCGGGGAGCCCTGCCGGCCGGGGCGGGTCAGGAATGAGCATCTGCACCTCATTGGTAGGTTCCCAGCAGTGCGGGGCGGGGGCGGAGCGCAATATGCGCGCCTGCGTGGTCTGCCCTGAGCGCTCCTGTCAGCGGCACCAGGAGCTTGTAGTCGACCGTCTCAGGGCGCCGGCGGACCGGTGGGCACTGCGCCTGCGCGCCGCAGCCCCGCCCCCGCCGCGCGGGGCCCTGGGAGGGGTGCAGCGTCCGGCGGCGTCGCTGCCGAGCCGGCGGCGGCGGCGGCGGCGGGAGGGCCGCGGGGGCAGACAAAGCCGCGGCTAATGAATGGGAGCGCGTCCGCCTGCGCGGCCGTGGAGTGCAGCCGTGCGGGAGCCCCGCCGCCGAGCCCGGCGCCCGCAGTGAGTGCGCGGCCCGAGCCCGCTCCGCCTCAGCCCGAGCTCGCGCCTGGGCACGGCCGTCGTGGTGCGTCGTCGGGGCCGGGCCGGGGGGCTGGGCTGGCGGGCGGGCGGACGGAAGGAAGGACGGTCGCCCCCGGCGCGCTTTCCGGGCAGCGGCGTGTCGTCGACCGAACCCCGCAAGTGGTGAAAGTTGGTGCGGGGACCGACGGCGCGAGGAGGCGCCTCGCAGAAGCGCTCCCGTGGGCGCCGCCGTGAAGGGGGCGCGCGTGGGGCTGCGGCGACGCGGCCGCTGCAGCGGAGACAGGTGCCCGGGCAGCGTCTCTCCAGGCGCTTTGCCCGCGGCCGCCGGGCCCGGTGCCGCCCAGTCGCGTTTGGGGCTTTTCTCGATCTGCCTCCCCGACCTGGCGTTTCCCGGACGAGCAGCCGGGGCCGGGCCGGATCAGCAAACGTGCGAGTCCGCCCCGGCCGGCCCGGCCCGGCGGCGGAGGGTCTCGGGTTCGACCCGGTCGAGGGCACGTACCAGGGTTGCAGGGTCGATCCCGGCCCTGGTGGGGTCGTGCGGGAGGCGACCCATCCAGGCGTCTCCCTCACTTAGGTGTTTCCTGCCCCCTCCCCCCTTTCCACTCTCTATATAAGTCAACGGGGAAACATCCTCGGGTGAGGATTAACAACCACCACATAATAATCATGCTGAGATAGAATAAAGCTACTGGAAAATTGAAAGAAATAACGACTCAAATCGCTAAGCATAATTTGAAATGTTTTCCAGTTGCTTGTTTTACTAGACCCAAGTCCACTTCGAGTCATCGTGTATCCTCTTTCCTCCTTTTTCTGCGACCCAGCCACCTCCACTGCTTTAGAGACCGCCAGCCCACCAGGCCCCCCTGTGCCACCTTCGTGTTTCGGGTGACACTCAGTAGACACATGCATCTCTGCAAGCAAGTGCCTGCCAAGCTGAGCCCTCAGGAGAAGCTTCTCTTTAATGCATTCTCGTGTTTGTAAAAAAGGGAAGTTAATTTGTTTTGAAGTTAACTGTGACCAGATCAAGTGCATGGTTTTTATTTATGTATTTACTTATATGTATATATATATATGTATTTTTGATCCTCACCTGAGGGTATTCTTCCACCGATTTTCAGATAGAGTGGGAGGGAGGGAGAGAAAGAGAAACATCCATGTGAGAGACACATCAATTGCTTGCCTCCCACATAACCCTGACCAAGGCCAGGGATCCAACCACAGCCGAGATATGTGCCCTTGGCTGGAATCGAACCCTTGACTCCTTGGTCCAAGGGGCTGATGCTCTACTCCTGACCAAATCAGCCAGGGCAAGTACCGCAGACCGATGCTCCAACCGCTGAGCCAAACCGGCCAGGGCCATAGTTTTTTAAAATCCACTTAAGACTTAATGAGGCCAGTTTGCTAAATAAAGCAAGGGCATCCTTGTGACTTTTTTTATATCGAAACATTAATTTTTTATGTTTCCTGTATAATATGGTGACAAAATTAGGAGACTAGGAAGGATTTAATAGGAGTTGTGTGTGTGTGTAAGTACTATGAATAAGCCAGATATGAATTATGGATTAATTTCAGTTACTAAACAAAGTTATCTTGGGAGAGGAAGCTGCTTAGGAGGAGTTTGACTGCATACTCAAGGTTTCCATTGGGATGTCCATGAGGAATGTGCCAGCTGTAATCTTTAGATTATATCTGCTTGTCATGATTTACGTTTTCTCAGGAAAGGCTTTAGGACAGGTTAGAGATACTCTGTGAGTGTTCAGAAAGTTTCAGAGGATAAGTTCATCTCTTACATTGGTTATAACTGATGAGTTGGGAGCCCCTTCCCACTCAGCATCATCTGGGAGCACTTTCTCGACCTTTCCCTTCTTTCCCACACCTGCCTGGAGCCATTTCCTCAATGGCTTTGGTTCCTTTCAGTGCAGAAAGGTGCTCAGAACCCAAGCTGTAGGTGTGATGTGTTCCTGGTGCTCCTGTGTCATTGCTCTGGGCACTGCTGGTAGACAGAGCTAGGATACCTAGTTTTATTTTATTTTATTTTGTTTATTTATTTTTTAAGTACGTTTTTATTGATTTTTTTAGAGAGAGAGGAACGGACAAAGAGATTGAAACATCAGTGTGAGAGAATCATCTATCTGTTGCCTCTTGTTCAGCCCCCACTGGGGATCAAGCCCAGAACCTGGGCATATGCCCTGACCAGGAATCAAACTGGCGATGTCTCAGTCCATGGGACAACACTCCACTGAGCCACACCGGCCGGGTTAGGATACCTAGATTGAAAATATCATGAGTTTATGCTACTATTTTCAGTACAAATTTAAAATTATACGATTTTATCTAATTTCTATGATTTTTAAAATGTGTATCTTTTGTCTATTCTGAAAATCTTGATTCTTAATATCATTGACAATTACTTTATGTTAAAATATACATCAAATAGATTGCTAACTTACAATACTATATTGCTACTACTTATGAAACTACTTAGTTTGTTTTTTTGTTTTGAAGTTCTTTTTGTCCTTAATATATACAGTTGACTCTGAACAATACAGGGGTTAGTGGTACCAACCCCCTATGCAGTAGAAAATTCACATGAGCATTGGATTCCCCAAAAACTTGGTTGGCCCTCAGGATAAGAGGGGAGTGGGTCTAGGACCCCAGCTCCTGATGCTGAGGTCCCCATATGAAATGGCATAGATCAATACATACAGTGGCCATCTGCATCCATGGATTCCCAACTCCACATTGGAATCAGTACTACAGGTATTTATTGAAAAGAAATCCATGTGTAAGTGGACCCATGCAGTTCAAACCTGTGTTGTTCAGAGTCACCTGTACCCTGCTTAGGATGCATTTTAATGTACTGTGTTTTAAAGTCCTTGATGAGGTGGCAGTGTAGGTAAACGTGGTATCACGTCCTCCCACAACCACATCAAAGTTACAACTAAACTACAGAACAACCATTATTCAAAACCGCCTAAAATCAAGCTGAATGGAAGTCCTAAAACTACGGAATTAAAGCAGCAGCCACATCCAGACTGGTAGGAGGGGCAGAGGCAGACAGGCTGGTCCCACACCCAAGTGTGGCTGCCAAAAATCAGGAGGACACCTCGGCAGGGAATGTCCTCCCTGAGGACTGAGGGGTCCCCGTCCCACACCAGGTGCCCCGCTCAGGGTTCCAGTGCTAGGAAGAGAAGTCCCTATAACTTCTGGCTGAAAAAACCAGCAGGAACTGAGCTCAGGGAAGCTGACGTGGCTGGAGCCCCAGGCAGCTCCTTAAAGGGCCCGCGCATGGACTTATCGGACTCACTCCCTCTAAGCTCTGAGGGGAGGCAGCTCGAGGGGCACCAGAGACATACAGGAAAGAACTGAGTTATTTGGCATTGGAGCAAGGGCTGGAGAGGGGGCTTACTCCGGGACAAACGTGCTGTCAGAGGGTTTTATTCCTTTGGTGAGCCCTTCCCTGGGGCGGCAGACAGAAGCCATATCAGGGACTCCAGCAACCTGGCTCACACTGGTAGCCCCACCCAACTTTCTGGCCCACCCAAGCTGTTGCCACTTGCTTAACTATAGGATTGGCCTGTGTTGGATCCTGCTTCAGGTTTTCCTAAATTCTTTCAAACAAGCAGCATCTGGTCTCAGCTAGCCACATACCGCTTGTTAAGTAATGCACAGAAACAAACACAGGGAGGCAGCCAAAATGAGGAGACCAAGAAACAGGTCCCAGATGAAAGAATAGAACAAAACCCCAGGAAAAGAACTAAGCAAAATGGAGATAAGCAACCTAACAGATGCTGAGTTCAAAATACTGCTTATAAGGATGCTCAAAGAACTTAGTGAGAACCTCAGTGAACTTAGTGAGGGCCTCAAGAGCATAAAAAGGGACCAGTCAGAAATGATGGATGCACAGTCAGAAATGAAGGAGGCATTAACTGAAATAAAGAATAATTTACACAGATTCAGTTGTAGAGTACGTAAATCCAAGAAGCAAACCATCGATTTGGAATATAAGGAAGCAAAAAACACCCAATCAGAAGAGCAAAAAGAAAAAGATAATCCAAGAAAATGAGGAGAGTGTAAGGAACCTCTGGGACACCTTCAAGCGTGCCAACATTCACATCTTGGGGGTGCCAGAAGGAGAAGAGCGAGAACAAGAAATTGAAAACCTGTTTGAAACAATAATGGCAGAAAACTTTCCTAACTTGGTGAAGGAAACAGACATACAAGTCCAGGAAGCACAGAGAGTCCCAAAGAAGATGAACCCCAAGAGGCCCACACCAAGACACATCATCATCAAAATGTAAAAGATTCAAGACAAAGAGAATCTTAAAAGCAGCAAGAGAAAGGCAGCTAAGAAACTTTGCAGGCCAGAAGGGAGTGGCAAGAAATATTCAGAGTGATGAAAAGCAAGAACCTACAACCAAGATGACTCTATCCTGCAAAGCTGTCATTTAGAATCGATGGCCATATAAAGAGTTTCCCAGACAAGAAAAAGTTAAAGGAGTTCATCACCACCAAACCATTGTTATATGAAATGATGAAAGGTCTTTTTGAAGAAAAAGATAAGATATATGAACAAACAAAATGGCAATGAATACATATCTATCAACAATGGAATCTACAAACAAAATGAACAGGCAGAAGAGAAACATTCTCATAGATACAGAGAACATTTTGTTGGTTTCCAGATGGGAGGGGGTTGGGGGATGGGTGAAAAAGGTGAAGGGATTAAGAAGTACAAATTCATTGCTAGACTGACAAACCTCAAAGGGAAGGGGATTGGGGGGTGGGAAGAAATAAACCAAAGAACTTATATGCATAACCAATGGACACAGACAATAGTGTGGGAAAAGGCGGGAGGGGGGCTGGAATGGGGAGGAGGGGGGTTAATGGGGGAAAAATGAGGAACATCTGTAATACATTCTACATTCAACAATAAAGATTTTAAAAAAATTAAAAAAGCCCTTGATGAATACTCTTTTATCTGTGGTTATGTTGCCTATTTGATATACAATTTAGTTTATTTGATTTGAATTTGGGTTTTTTAAATTTTTATTTTTATGGCCTTGGCTGGTTTTTTGCTCAGTGGTTAGAGCGTCGGCCCACAGACCAAAGAGTCTCGGGTTCAATTCCAGTCAAGGGCACATACCTCAGTTGCAATTTGGTCCCTGGCCCTGGTTGGGTCGTGGGAGAGGCAAACAGTCTAGGTGTCCCTCTCACATCAATGTTTTTTTTCTCTCTCTCTCCCTCCCCTTCCCACTCTATCTGAAGATAAAATGGAAAAATGTTGTCGGGTAAAGATTTTTAAAAAATTTATTTTTATGCAAAATAATTATGTGACTCAAAGTCTAAATTATAGGAGATGTGATCAGGAATATGCCACCCATCCCAATCTTCTCCATTCTTTATCAGCAGCCATTTTTTTTCTGCTCTTTCCTGCAGCGGTAGGCAGGCACGATGCACTTGTGCACACACACACCTATACCTGCCTGCCTTTCCTTCCCCTCGTCTTTTGTTACAGGTTGCAGTACCTTTACACTTGTGTGTCTTGCTGCTTTATTCAACACCTCTATGAATGTGTCAGTCTGTAGTGATGGTATTTGAGTGGTTTTCCAACCTTTGGCTGTGGCATGCCACAAGGACAAATCTTGGGCTGATGACATTTAAAAAAAATTTTTTTTTAAATATGTTTTCTTTATTGATTTTAGAGAGAAAGATAGAAACATTGAGAGAGAGAAAATCCACTGGCTGCCTCCTGCGACTGAATCGGCAACTCCTCGATGCATGGGTCAATGCTCAACCACTAAGCCATACCGGCCAGGGCATGAATCATTTTTCTGTCCTCCTCCAAAAGTGACAGTTGATTTTATTTTGGTATTATGAACTCATAGGTTTAAACATATTAAATGAGTTTTAATGTGATTATAGTTCTATTTTATGTTCAAATTGTATCATTTTGGACAGTGGCAGCCTTTACAAGGTGGCCCCTACATCCTTTGACAGGACTCAAGTACACTCTCAACAGCTCCTTGCTCTCTGGTACGCCAGCATGTGCCACACTGACCTGTCTTCTTCCTACCCAACTGGGAAGAAGCCATGCCGTCAAGAAGCCCTGATCTTTTTTAACGGGCAACGTTAAAAAAGATGTTAGCGATGCTCATTGCTGCTGGGTTGGTCATTGTTTGTAGGTGTTTGCAATGAACAGAGCTAGGGTTTATATCTGTTCACTGACTATAGGATGTTTATTTGGCCTTTTGGATCTCATGTGTCTCCTTTCTACCCTGAGAATCCTGGTTCTCAAGGGCATAGGAGATGAGAGTATTAGACTATCACTACTCATTTGCCTTGCCCCTCGCTACACGCACTACAGCCTCAGAATAGCAATGACAGTGCGACTAACACCTGTGTCATTACAGAAACCAGTTAAAATATTTTTGGCATAAGCCTTCCCGTATCCTCCCATCCTTGACTTTGTAGCGTACGTAGCCGTTGCTGGAGCGTTCTGACCCATGAGCCCTTGCTCAGTCTTGGTTCAGGTAGGTAGACACTCAGTGCACACACCCAGTCTTGATGTCACAGTTTCTCTAGATGTTTTGGTTGAGGTTTGTTCTTTAGTAGGTTCGTCGGGAAGGATGCATGGAAAAAACTGTTCCTCATTCTTGCATGTTGGTAATGGTCTTTCTGCATCCCTTACACTTGAAAGGCAGGTCGACATAACATCTCGGCTCACGTTTCCTTTCCTTGGATACCATAGGTATGTCACTCAGTTGTTCTTGGGGGTAGGACATTGCTATCAAACTCATGACAATTAAAAAAAAAGTTTTAAAATTGATGTTAGAGAGAGGAAGGGAGAGGAAGAGATAGACACATCGATGAGATAGAACATCGATTGGGTGCCTCCTGCATGCCCCCCACTGGAGATCAGGCCCACAACCGGGCATGTGCCCTGGCTAGGAATTGAACTGGTAACCTCTTGGTGCATGGGTCGACACTCAACCACTGAGACACCCCGGCATTGCTGGCTGGCACTGTTTCTGGCATCAGGTGTCCTGGGAACCAGTGATCTTCAGCAGCCTCATCTGGTCTGTCCTGGCTCTGGGTGGGCTTGACATGGCAAGGATGAGGTGTCATGCTGCTGGAAGCACAGAATGAGTCTTAGGCCTGCCTCCTGTGGTCTGCTGGGGCTGAGGCAGGCACTGGGGTTAAGCCCATGCCTATCCTCTGCATGGGCAGCATGAACGCGTAGGCAGGGCCTGTGGCTGACCCCAGCCCAGCTACCCTGGGCAGCCACCATCTGCTCCAGGGAAGCATGGCCCTACCATTGACCTTGCCCAGGGTTCCACCCTAGCAGGACCTTACGCACCTGGGGCAGCTCAGGGGCAGCTGAGTTGTGGTGAGGGACCTGGCTCTCCCCTGCCTGGTACAGGACCTGCCGAGACCCCTGGTCTTCCATGGCTGTTCTCCCTACCACAGCTTAGCATGAGCTTCTTCTCATTTTCTTGATTTCTCTCTGCATTTGCTTTTACTTGGAACCTGAGTGATACAAAGCATCAGTAATCTGTCTTCAGTCCCACCCCTGGGTATTCTGGTTTTTGGATTGTTTAGTTTTGAGTCATTCTATTCTGGTTGTATTTATATGAAACCCCTGACTGGTTTTAATAAAAGTAGAGTCTAGTTTTATTAGGTAAGTGTGCTCTTCCTGGTGTTTGTGTTTCCATATTGCCAAGAACAGGTTTTGTTGCCTTTTGATTAACTGCTCCACTCCTGCCTTACCTCTTCTCCACCTGTCACATCTCAGCGACTGCTGTGCAGCTATCCCCGGAATGTACGATAATGCCTGTTCCCCGTGTTTGCTCCACCCATACGTGCCTTCAGAATGTCACATGTTCTAGTATCTGGTATAGGTTGTGGTGGTGATCTTAGTTCTTAAAGGTGGGTGTTCCCTCAGGCAGGAGTTTGCTTGGCACTCAAAGGACTGTCCTCCATTTTTGGAAGCAGGGACCTCATGTCGGTAAGACATTCAGTGATTTACTCTGTGAGTCAATTGTTTCAGAGCTTAGATGCAGGCGTTTTAGTTCCTAAGTCATGTCCTTTCTGATAGCAAAGGGGAATGAAGTTGATTTTAGGGATTCAGGTGTGCTGAATAAAGCAGCCCCAGGTGCCTCTGGTACACTGTGTGGTAGGCGAGGACATCAATGCTCGCCTGTACGCCAAGGCAACCCCTGTACGCTGTTTTAGGGGTTTGTCCATGCTACCCCAGTCCTTTATTAAGAGGCCATTTGAATTTAAATTCCTATCTTTATTTTTTCACTTATGTTCCAGTATGCAGTACTTTTATTGTGTAAGTGGATTGCAAACAAGTTATTATAATTTACCATTACGGCATTTTTTTAATGCATATTGAGACTAATATGTGCCTGGCACTACAAGGTTCAAATGTGCAATTCAGTTAAGTGCTTGACCTGATTTCATTTCTTGTAGGTAATGCAGATAGACCGTCAAGATGGCGACAGTCCTGTTCCCAAGATGAGTAGGTCAGCACAATGTGAACTTACGTCTGCACCACAAAGTCCTTAAGACAATATGCTCCTGAGCTACATCTTCTGTTTTTCAGTAACATTTATGATGAGCCATAGTGAAAAACATACCGAAAGACAGAATCGTTCTGCACGCACTGAAGATAATGTACGTTTGGGGGCACAAATGAGCATTTGGATCATTTTCTTACCAACCTGAGAGGGCATACGACGACACAGCCAGAATAGTTATGGTCAGTCATGGAGAATGACCAGGGAACCCATCCCAGTGTGGGTGGTGATTTTGTTTGTGATAAAATAAGTTTGAAAATAGAAGAGGAAGATGATGGAATTCCAAATCACAATTTGGAAGGAATGGACTTTAAAATTGAACAGGAGAACAGGAAAGCATCTGACAGTGGTGAGGAGCAGGCAGAGATCAGAGAGCCGAGCTACAGCTGTAAGACCTCGGGGAAGTGTTCCCCTGCTGACCACGAGGACGACTACGGGGCCCTGTTCTCACAGTACAGCAGCACGTTGTACGATGTCGCCATGGAGGCTGTGACGCAGAGCCTCCTGTCCAGCCGCAACATGAGCTCCAGGAAGAAGTCTCCAGCCTGGAAACATTTCTTCATCTCTCCACAGGACAGCACGAAGGCCGTGTGTGTGTACTGCATGAAAGAGTTCAGCCGTGGCAAAAATGAGAAGGATCTGAGCACGAGCTGTCTCATGCGGCACGTGAGGAGGGCACATCCCTCGGCGCTCATCCAGGAAGATGGCAGTGTGTCTGCCCTGGGCTCCCTCTCCTCCCCTGCACTGCTGCTCCCACCACAACCCGAACCTGTTGGAGACCTGGGCACCTTACTGTCACCCATCAAACTTGTCCAGAAAATGGCCTCCAAGATCCCGTCTTCTGAGCAAGTGACGGAGGAATCTGTGTCTGTTGTCTCTTCTGAAGAGGTCTCCTCTGACTTGTCCATTACTGAGAAGTATAGCCGGGAAGAAGCCCTGGTGGGGCCACCCCCACCGCTGCCCACTCGTCAGTATGATGACGCTGCAGGGAGTGGGCCAGAGAAGAGCCTCCCGATTCCAAAGAGCACCTCTGGGTCTCGAAGGTGGTCTGCGGTCTGGAAGCACTTCTACCTGTCTCCTCTGGACAGCTCCAAGGCCGTGTGCAGTCACTGCATGAGTGAGTTCAGCAGAGGGAAGAACGGGAAGGACTTGGGTACCAGCTGCCTCATCCGGCACATGTGGAGGGCACACCGTGCCATTGTGCTGCAGGAGAAGAGCGAGGGTGCAGCCATGCTGCCACCCAACACTGCACACTCCACCCTCCTTTGTGCCCTCCCTCCTGAAAGAGATCCAAGTTTTCTGTCCTCTTCGCCAGGGAAGGCAGTACTAGAGGCCCCCTCAGCATCCTCTTCCCCAGATTTGCTGTCTGAGGACATGCCAATGCGTCTGAACCCCACAGATGCACTGCTGGAAGATGCGTCGGTGCTGTCATCCTCTGAGGACATCTGCAAGGCCTTGGTGGTGTCCTCTCCTGAGAAGCAGCAGGATGATGGGGCGAGCCCTCGCGTGTTTGAGGCTGGTGCTGTGTTCCAACAGAATCAAAAGGTGATGAAGAGACTGAAGTCTGAGGTTTGGCATCACTTCTCACTAGCCCCCATGGATAGTCTGAAGGCGGTATGCAGACACTGTGGTTGTGTCATCAGCCGGGGAAAGAAGGGTGATGTGGGCACCAGCTGTTTGATGAGACATCTCTACAGATGCCACCCGGAAGTTGTTGGGCACCAAAAAGGCTTCCTGGGGACTAGTTTGTGCAATTCTCAGTACTCCACCTTGGCGTCTGCAGAAAGTTCCTCCTCCAAATTAACCGACTTGCCAGCGGTGGTCAGAAAAAGCAATCCGGTTCTCTTTCCCGTTCACGGCAAAAAGACCTCCAAGCTGTGGAATCATTTTTCTGTCTGCTCCACAGACCCCACTAAGGTCATGTGCTTGCACTGTGGCCGGACGATCAGCAGGGGGAAGAAGCCGACTAACCTGGGCACCAGTTGTCTTCTGAGGCATTTACAGAGGTTCCATGGCAGCGTGCTGAAGACCGACGTCCCCAAGACCACTGTGCCCTGTTCTCCAGGCAGCCGTGTGCCCCTGAGTGCAGAATTGTCAGGAGCTTCCTCCTTTGTCGACACCGATGAGAAGTTTTATGATTCTCATCCAGTTGCCAAAAAGATAACAAGTCTCATAGCTGAAATGATTGCACTTGACCTTCAGCCATATTCTTTTGTAGACAATGTTGGCTTTAACCGGCTGCTCGAATACTTGAAACCTCAGTACTCTTTGCCCTCCCCTTCCTACTTCTCCAGGACAGCTATCCCCGGAATGTACGATAATGTGAAACAGATCATTATGTCACACCTTAAGGAGGCTGAGAGTGGCGTGGTCCACTTCACATCTGGAATATGGATGAGTAACCAGACCCGGGAGTATCTGACCCTCACTGCTCACTGGGTCACCTTCCAGTCGTCATTCTGGCTGCACTGTGAGGACCACCACTGCTCAGCACTGTTAGACGTGTCACAGATTGACTGTGACTATAGTGGCAGCAGCATTCGGAAGCAGCTGGAATGTTGGTGGGAGGCCTGGGTGATATCCACCGGCCTTCAGGTTGGCATCACGGTGACTGATAATCCCAGCATAGGAAAGACGCTGAATGAAGGGGAGCACTCCAGCGTGCAGTGCTTCAGTCACACGGTGAATCTCATTGTCAACGAGGCCATTAAAAGCCAGAGAATGGTCCAGAATTTACTCAGCATCGCTCGGAAGTTATGTGAGCGGGTGCTCCGGTCACACGAAGCCAAGGAGAAACTGGCGGAGCTGCAGAAGGAGTACGAATTGCCGCCGCACCATCTTATTCAAGACGTCCCGTCCAAGTGGAGCACGTCGTTTCACATGCTGGAACGGCTCATTGAACAGAAGAGAGCAATTAACGAGATGTCCATCGAGTGTAATTTCAGAGAACTGATCAGTTGTGACCAGTGGGAGGTCATGCAGTCTGTGTGTCACGCACTGAAGCCCTTCGATGCTGCGAGTCGGGAGATGAGCAGCCACGTGTCCACCCTCAGCCAGGTCATCCCCATGATCCACATCCTGAACAGGAAAATCGAGATGCTGTTTGAGGAGACGATGGGCATCGACACCATGCTGAAGTCTCTGAAGGAGGCCATGGTGAGCCGACTGTCCGCCACCCTCCACGACCCCAGGTACATCTTTGCTACATTGTTGGACCCTCGTTACAAAGCCTCCCTGTTCTCTGAGGAGGAGGCGGAGCAGTACAAGCAAGATTTAATCAGGGAACTAGAAATGCTGAATTCTACCTCAGAGGACACACCTGTCTCCAATGGGTGTGATCCAGGCTCCCCATCGAGGGACTCCAGTGGGGACGAGAGTCTGTGGTCACTCATGGCCAAGATAAAAAAGAAAGACCCAAGGGAAAAGACGAAGGTGCCTGAGGCCATGGTGCTTGCATACCTGGAGGAGGAGGTGCTTGAACACAGCTGTGACCCGCTCACCTACTGGAACCTAAAGAAGTCCGCCTGGCCGGGCCTCTCGGCCTTGGCTGTCAGGTTTTTGGGCTGTCCTCCGAGTATAGTCCCTTCGGAAAGGCTGTTCAGCACACCCACTGAAAACGGTAGCTTTGGCCAGTCCAGGCTCATGATGGAACATTTTGAAAAACTTATTTTTTTGAAAGTGAATCTTCCCTTAATATACTTTCAGTATTGAAATCCCAGTGGAGCCACCAGGCTAAAGATGTTGCTCGTTAGGCACCAGCTGTTTGTTGCGAGCTGGTGGCTGGCACCAGTCGGAGCCAAGGAGGACATCAGACCAGGCACTCTCAGGTCCACGCTGAGTTTCCCTTAGTTTCACTGTAATGTCTCTATGTGCCTTACTCGTAGTCCTTCAGGCCAGGTACCACGGTGTGTTTTTTACCAAGCCACTAGAAACAGCCTGTCTTGTCAATGACAATATACAATGATTATGTTTTAATCCGTAACTGTAACATTGTTTAAAATCTTGGGGTAGACCTGCTTCTTCTCCTGTGAACACTCCCATGCCTTTTCCTTCTTCCTGTTCTTCCCTCTCATGTGTACATCCCCTAAGGTCTTAGGGAATCCCAGGAGTCTTGCAACCAGGGGAGCATTTGGTAGCAGCAGCTTGTCCCAGGTTAACCCCGTGAATCTGTCTCCAGGGCCACCTTTTCTCTGATATTCCAATGAGCCAAAGCAGCCCCACCTAGTCTCCTGTTGCTTCTTTTATTCTAAACCCATCCTTGTTCCTCAGCTTTAATAAAGGTACTATGGAAATAAAATAGCTTCCCCCAGCCTGTTTGGCCCAGAAATTAGAGCATCACCCCATGGACCAAAGCGTCACGTGTTTGATTTCCAGTCAAGGTCTTCTACCTGGGTTGTATATTTGATCCTGGCCCCAGTTGGGGTGGTGTGGGAGATAACCAATTTATGTGTCTCCTTTACATCAATGTTTCTCTCCCTTCTCCCTCCCTTCCACTCTATCTAAAAATCAATGGAAAAATATCCCTGGGTAAGGATTTAAACAACAATAACAACAAAATGCTGGGGGTTATTAATTTGTTTTACTAGAATGACAGAGAAGATGTAAACAGTTTTTTTCTGTAGCCTTATTATTAGTTATGTAAAAACAAATCAGGTACTGTATTTTAGTTAAACATTGTTTTAATTGTGCCCAGCCAGTGTGGCTCAGTGGTTGAGCATCAACCTATGCACCAGGAGGTTGCCGGTTCGATTCCTGATCAGGGCACATGCCCAGGCTGTGTGCCAAATCCTCAGTGGGGGCATGCAGGAGGTGGCCAATCGATGTTCTCATGGATGTTTCTTTTTTTTTTTTTTTTATCCTCACCCTAGGACATTCCTCCATTTTTTTGTTCAGATAGAGCGGGAGGGAGAGGAAGAGAGAGAGAGAGAAACATCGACGTGAAGGGACACATCGAGTGGCTGCCACCCGCATGACCAGCCAGGGCCGGGGACAAACTGCAACCGAGGTACGTGCCCTCAGCAGGAACCAAACCCGGGTCTCTCTGTACCGCAGGCCGACGCTCCAACCGCTGAGCCAAACCGGCCAGGGCCTCATGGATGTTTCTATCTCTCCCTTCCTCTCTACAGTCAATAAAGAAAAAAAAAATTGTTTTAATTGTAACAAAACAGCCCTCAAACAAACAAAATGTAAAATGCAGTTGTCATAGAACCATTTTGATCTGCATCTCTAATGTATGTGCGATATGCAGAGCATATTCTGGAAGATAACCGTTCACTATGACAGATGTGACATTTGGGGACGGAACTAAACTTAGAGGTATTGTGGAATGTCAGTTGCATGGTGGTTAGTAAGGAGAACTCACCTTTGTTCTGGTTTTACATTGAGGTTTCACATGATTTGTTAACTCAGAGAGGTCCTGACTACTTAAGGGCTCCTTGCTGTCTGCTGCTCAGCCAAAGGACAATATGACACGTCTACAGCAGTTCTGGTGATTAAACCTCCACGCCTCTGACCTAGTGTCTCTACACTTTGAAGCTGTCTTTTGAAATGTGTGTAGTGACCCCCAATTTGATCAAATCACATGTAAAGTTCTCTTTAGAAGAGGTGGCTTATGAACAGGGAAGAAGATTGTTTTACTACAGTTGGAAGACTAGCCTTAGGTGTTTAGGTTTTTTAATAATATGGAAGACTCAGCCATTACGGGTATTCTAGAATCCCAGGGACATCAGAATGAAGTGTCAGTTGTCAGGTTCTTTTAACATTAATGTCTTCAGAGTTTTTGCTTCAACATTCTGAAAAGGGTTCATTTTCTTATGTCATACCAATTAAATATATGGGGTGAAACAAGCCACTCACTGCCTAGGATCCCCTTTTAGAAAAGTTGTTTTGTCAAAATATCGTACCTGTTATTAATCTCACTTTGCGTTGACTATGTTTTAGTGTATTTATAAATGGGGAACTCAGTTTCTGAAATTAAACTTTTTATTTGTAATTTTCTATGGTTGGAGGACAATCGCTTTTTGTTCTTAGGATAATAAAATAGTCACCTTCTTTGGGAGCCAAAATACTTGGAAACCACATTCATTCAGCCCTTGAATTTTCACCTTAGCTCCAGGTAGGACACAGGAGAGATGATGATGTTCTTACAACAGCGTTTCTGAGAGTGGTGCTGACTTGTATTCACAGTGAGCGCTGTGCCACATGTGGTGCCTGAACACTAGAGCCTGTGGGTAGGCTCACAGTTGCCTTGGCCATGTAGCCTCTCCCTCGGGTTGCTGTGTGCATGTTCCTGAGTCCAGCCTCTGTTCTGGAGGCCCAGGGAGCGCTAATCAGGGACACTTGTGAATTATGCTGCCATCGTTTTCCCATGACTCACATTAGAATTCCTATAAATGTGTGCTCAAGGTGATACTACGTGTAAAGACCTCACTAGTTTGGGATCCAGGCTGTCATCATTCATCCTTGTGCTGGGTCTGACCAGGTTTGGGATGTGAGAACAAAAGGCCAGAGTAGATGTCCTAGAGATCCAGTGTTGGGCTTATGGCATACCTGGGTTGTATGTTCGATCCCCAGCTCAAATCAGGGTGTGTGCAGGAGCCAATCAATTGATGTGTCCTCTCTCTCTCTCTCTTTTCCTCTTTACCTCCCTTCCTCTCTCTCTCCCATTGTTTAAAAATGGAAAAAATATCTTTGGGTGAGGATTAACAACAAAAAAACGATGCTTATAGACTGCTTGCCGGTTTGGCTCAGTGGTTGGAGTGTCATCCCGTGCAATGAGAGGTTGTAGGTTAGATCCCAGTCAGGGGCCATGCAGATGCAACCAACTGATGTTTCCCCCCCTCTCTCTTCCTCTAGAATTAATGAGAAAAATTCCTCAGTTGTGGATTAATTAAAATGGAAAATTCACTTTTGGCATTCAAATCAGAATCAAGCATAAAGAAGAAAGAATGAGCAAACTTGAAATAGGACAACTGAAATTATTGAGTCTGAGAAGCAAAGAATAAAGATTATAGGAAAGTAAACAGTTTAAAGGGCTGGTGGGACATCAATAAGAACCAACAAACACATTGTGGGAGTCCCAGAAGGAAAAGGGAGAAAGGAACAGAGATATATGAGAATATAATGACCAATAACTTCCCAAATTTTATGAAATACATTAATAAAAAACATCTAGTAAGAAAGGAACAGAGATATATGAGAATATAATGACCAATAACTTCCCAAATTTTATGAAATACATTAATAAAAAACATCTAGTAAGCTCAATGAACATCAAGTAAAATGAACTCAAAAGACCCACCTTGAGACGCATCATATAATCAAATTGTCCAAAGACTAGTGAATCTGGAAAGTATCAATTGAGTGCTCTCATACAAGGAGTCATTAAGATGATCTGCAGATTTATTGTTACAAACCTTGTAGACCAAGGAGGCAGTGGGCAAATATTTTGTCAACCGATAATCTTATATGTAGCAAAACTGACCTTCAAATGTAAGGGATAGACATTTCCAGATGACCAAAAGGTAATAGAGTTTGTGACCACTAGACCTGCCCTGCCAGAAACAGAGAAGTCCTGCAGGATGAAATGAAGACACTGGAGTTGACTTCCGGTTAGGATGGCCACATAGGTAAACCTGGTCCTCACATCCTCCCACAACCACATTGGAATTAGGACTAAACTACAGAATACCCATAATTGAGAATTGCCTGAAATTTGGCTTAATGAAAGTCCTACAACTAGGAAATTGAAAAAGAAGCCACATCGTAACTGGTAGGAGGGGCAGAGATGTGCAATGGGCTGGTCCTACCCCCATGTGTGGCAATTGAGAATCGGGTGGGATATCTTGGCTGTGGAGATACCCCCTGAGGAGTGACAGGTTCCAGTCCCACACCAGGCCAACCAGTCCAGGGTTCCAGAGACAGGAATAGAAGTCCCTATAACTTCTGGCCACCAAAAACTAGTGGGGCCAGTGCTCTTCAAAGCTGTTCAAGTTATCAAAAATAAAGTTTCACAGTCAAGAAGAGCCTAAGGAGACATAATGACTAAATGTGATGTGGTGTTCTGGATGGGATCTTGGAACGGAAAAATGACATTAGAGAAAAACAAAATCTGAATAAAATATAGACTTTGGTTAGTGATAATGATATTTTATGACGTACTCTACTAATGCGAAATGTTAATAATAGGGGAGAGTGGGGTTGTATTGTATATGGGAATTCTCCACTATCTTCATAATTTTTCTGTAAATCTGAAAGTATCCTAAAATAAAGTTTATTAAAAAAACAAAACAAAACAAAACAGAAACAAACTTGTCTGGCCGGTGTGGCTCAGTGTTTGAGCATCAACCCATACACCAAGAGGTCGCTAGTTTGATTCCTGGTCAGGACATATACCCAGATTGTGGGTCCAATCCCCAGTGGGGGGCTTGCAGGAGGCAGCCAATCTATGTTCTCTCTCATCGATGTTTCTATCTCTCCCGCTCCCTTCCTCTCTGTCTAAAATCAATAAAGGAGTCCTGGCCAGTTTAGCTCAACAGTTAGAGCATCAGTCCTGGATTCGGTTCCCTGCTAAGGGCACGTACCTCGGTTGCAGTTTGTCCCTGGCCCCGGTTGGGGTTGTGTGGGTGGCAACCACTCAGTATGTCTCTCTTGCATCGATGTTTCTCTATCTGAAGATAAATGCAAGAGTGTCCTTGGATGAGAATTAAAAAAGAAAAAAAAGTAAAAAAAAAATAAAGGACAAAAAAAACAAAAACTAGTGGGGATTGTGGCTGAGTGAGACAGAATCCAACTGGAGTCCCAGGTGTTCCTCTTAAAGGGCCCATGCACAGACTTACTTGGGTGCATCCCTCTGTGCTCTAGGGCTGGGTCAGCAGGTTGAAATGAGCCAGAGATAATAAGGGGTGGAACTGAATTGACTGGCATCAGGATGAGAGCTAAGGGAGGCAGCTTTCTACCAGATGGAGTCCAGTATACCTTTTCTGAGCCCTTCACCCACAGAGCTGTCAGGTGGACACCATATCTCAGTCTTCATGAACCTGCCTCACACTGTTTGCCCTGACCTTGTAATTCTCTGAGACCCCCACCCAATTTGTGGGCCCACCCAAGCCATTTCCAGCGACTTTTCCATACAAATGGCCTGCCTTGCCTCATGGTTCAGACTTTCCTAAAATATCGAGCAGCATATGGCCTCTGTGTATGCCATACCTCTTGCTATATGGCCTCAGGCCTAGAACTAGTGGGAGCCTGCCTTGGTTTATAGCTTGGCCTCTCCTGGGGACCTCCAAGCCCAGCACAAGTAGCAGCCCTGTGCAGATCTCTCTGTAGCTCATGCCTGGTGGTCCCAACCTGGGCACAGGCGGTGGCAGACCTTACATCTCCCAGGAAGCCCCAGAACCAGCACACCTGGTGGACAGCCTCAGACCATGCTGGATTACAGCCTACCACCTCCATGAGTGATGCCTTGGAGTCAATCCCTCCC